GTATTAAATATGTTGGGACTAAATGTGTTTTCTAAATCTTGCATGAAACAATTTTCTTATTCAAGAGAATTGAAATTTCTGTAATAATACGTTCACCATGGGGAGGGGGGTAGTTATTTTTTAAAAGCTTGATCTTTCAAGTAAGGAATCCATAGATAAGATAAGTCAGTACTATTTTGTATTAAGCATACTATCTATAAAGTATTATAAAGTATTTTACTATCTATCAAGTGTTTTGCATTACACATATTATCTGTAAAGTCTTTTACAGCAGAAGAGGAAATATCATATGCTAGCAAACAGAACTTACTGGTTTTAGTGCCAAATAAGATTTTGTAGTTTTATTCTGATTCTTACTTTATTTTAATTCTTAAAGTGTAAAATACTTTAGTATTTATGACACAAGTTTAGTTCCCCCAATCTATACAGGTTTCTACCATCCCTTACCTCTCATCCCTAACTCTACAAGAACACTGGCTTGGAGGTAGCAAGGAGGTGGGCAGCAAAATTACTTCCCAGTGCTGGAGCTGGCCCTTTAATCAGAATTACAGTAGATGATCTCTTCAATAACCAGCATATACAGAAGTATCAACATTTTTCCAGAATAATCTTTTGTTTTTTGTTGTTGTTTGTTATTACTTGTAGGGTCGTGGTTTTGGAGAGTAGACCAACCGATAACCCAACAGCAAATAGCAATCTGTACATCCTGGCAGGTCATGAAAACAGTTACTGAGAAAGAACGAATTCTGCTGCTGCAACCGGAGTGGACGCTTGAAGCTGTACAAAAGCTGCAGTAACCTGCCTTCAGTTCCTTGTAATTTATTGTGGCATGAGACAAGATGGGGAAAATATTTGTTTTAAGTGGTATGGATATATTTAGCATATTGAAAACCACACAAGTGCTTAATTCATTGTTATGTAATCTTTGTACATATAGGCGGTATTTTTCTGTGAAACTTCATATTGCTGAAGACATATACTAAAAACTTATGTAGATAATGTACTTTTATGAGATGTATAAGTAAGTGTCCTATCTGTACAGTTGTAAATGTTGATGAAAATGCAATTGGGGTTAATATTTTAAGAATTCTTTAGTATATTCTTGGGTGTGGTTATATTACAAAATGGGATGCTGGCAATGAAGCAGTCAGTACACTTAACACTATGGTATTTTTATCATATGTAATTTAGTAATATGAATATAAATCTTGTAACTTTTAAAATTGTAATGGAGGCTGTAATCATTTTATAATCTTGTTTTTAATTTTAATGCAAGTACACTGGTGTTTATATTTGCACAGAGTATTGATATGTGATGTATTAAGTCACAAAAGTAAGCTGTGACATTGTCAATATGCATTTGGCTTCATATCTTTTTTACATGTTTACTATGTGAAACAAACCAATTAACCACCAGTTGTAGTAACTGATCTTTTATATTTAAGCAGAGTCTTATGAGATTGCTTGTCTGTGCTTCACATATACCCTTAAAAGAATTTTAAATCACAGAATAGCGGTACCATGATGTAACACTGCAATTGTTGTGTCTGAATTATAGTATACACAAAATAAATTAGCATTATTGAAGAGTCCACACTAGACATTTCATATAATCACACCGAAGAACTGTAACATTCCAGAGTGAAGTGGTTCAGATTTCTAGTGGAATTTCTATTTTTGTTGGCCTTTACGATCATTTTCATATTTCTTTTGTTTTAGAGTATTAACACATGGCCAAAATAATTTAGTTACTACCTCATATAAACAATATAATGGTCACTACACATCACAGAAACTTAGTTTGAGTTAAAGCCATTTTTGAGTGCTTTTTTTTCCAATGAGATAATGTGTATACAAAGTTTTAGCACACTTTTGGCTCTTTTGATATATGTTCTTTATATTTCAATGCGAGTATATACACTTAAGAACAAGCTAAATTGTGGTTTTTGGTCTTCATTTATTTTAATAGATAATGGTTTAAAATATGTTCTCAACTGTATATAGTGTAAAATAAACATGTTTTTTAACATGCTGTTGTACAGTATATTGTCATCTGGTTTAATGTGTATGTAATAACTAAATTATATTAAGGGAGAAAAGTTGTTTTACACTTAAATCCCTAAGAATGGAATTATGGTCCCTCACATCTTGATTGAAGCAGAAATATTTCCACATCTGAGAAAAGGGAAATTTTTGTAGAATCTTCAACTTCTGATCAGGAAACACACTTAAACATTCAGAGTGTTCTGGTGGGAGCCAGGATCAGCCTGTTTGGGTAAATAAAGTCTTGTTGGAACACAGCGCCACCTATTTGTTTACCTATTGTCTATTATTGTTTGTGCTACAGTGTTTAGTGTTGAGTGGTTTCAAGTAACTGGATAGCCTGCAAATCCTAAAATGTTTACTAGCTGACTCTTTACAGATAAAAATTGGCCATCACCTGAATAAGAAACAGGAAAGAAGAGTGTTTGGAAATGCAGTTGTGGAGGTAAGGAACAAACACTAAGTGTCTTTAGAAGAAACGGATTGAGCAGTCAAGGAGTATCATTTCTACTACAGCCTATGCCACAACCTACCACTGACAAGTCAAGTGAATTCCCATGTCTAAAACTGTATAGGTGATAATAACCGTACCAACTGGGTGTATTCTTGCTTTTCAAGACCCTAAGAATAATTTTAGCATTTACAACTAATAACTATTTAAAACATCACTAATAGTACAACATGATCAATATGCTGGGAAAAAGAAAAAAAGACTCGTGGATAGATTTTCATAAACCTCAGGTTCTGTCAGCATTTACTGACAAGGGTGTTGATCCTTCTTCTGGACCACTGTTTTTTTCAGGTCCAAGCCATACAAGTGACATAAAGGATCATTTTATCTCAAAAAAATGTTAATTTTCACAATTCTGGTTCCTCACATTAGGAAATTAGAAATATTTTCACTTTATAAAATAATTCTGAAGTGCACCACAGTATGAAAACCATTGGAGTTTAAATCAACATTTTTGGGTGTGGTCCAAGGATCACTGTCTTTAGGAGATAATCATCTTTAATGACAACTTACAGTGCAAATAGATCTTTTTATTATTATTATTTTGTGCCTATATGCTCACTTAACTGTTGGAACCACTCTAGTTCATCTCATTCAAATTCAAGCTACACTGTCCTTTTAGCTAATTTCAAAGATCAGTTTACTGGTGTCTGCTTCATTCTGTTTGCAAGTGTGTATATCTGATTTCAGTGAAGCCAACAAAATAATGCGTATATGTTATCAGTTTTCATCATTAATAGCACAGGTATCAAAGGTATAAAATAATGAGTAAACTCTGTAGGTATTGTTAATTTCATTTGACATATAAATGGAGGCATCGAAATTGGTAAGTAGGTGGCTAACATTTGAAGCTTGATATTTGGTTCAAAAGGTTATTTGAAGCTAAGCAATGATGACAATACATGCAGAGTACTTGAGTCCACTAAGTGCTCTCTATTACTTTTCTTCTGAAATGATTTTCTTCAGAAGTTGGATTTTCATGGTCTCTGCAAAAAGAAAAATTCTTAAAGTTTTGAGATTTGGGCTGGGAAGGTGGCTCAGTGGTAAAAGTGCTTGCCTTGCATGCCTGAGGAGGCCCTGGGTTCGATTCCCATAAGCAAAAAAAAAAAAAAAAAGCCGGAAGTCGTGCTGTGGCTCAAGTGGTAGAGCGCTAGCCTTGAGTTGAAGAGCTGAGGGGCATTGCCCAGGCTCTGAGTTCAGGCCCACGACCGGACCCAAAATAAAGTTTTGAGATTTGTCAAAAAGTACTTTTCTTCTTCAAAACCTTTTGTATTGGGGATAGAAGAGTTTACATACAATTAACTTTACAGATAGCATTTATTGCCTACTCAAAACTCAGCAAAGACTTTTGAGACAATTACTTAACATACTGATTATTTACAGTGTATTCAGGCACTTTCCTGGCACAGGAGAAAAGATGAAAAAGACATAATTCCCAGCCAGAATCTGCCCAAGAAGTACAATTGGATGAATAAAGGTAAATGGTTCTAAGTAGCATTAACAAATACAACCGGGCCTGCTGGCACATGCCTATATCCCAGCACTCGGGCGTCTGAGACAAGAGGGATGGCCAGCCTGGGCTACGTAACAAGACCTTGCCTTAAAAAGTAATGTTTAAAATACCAATGTGCCTAACTGTGCTTTGGGAAAAGGAAGGCCTTTATGTAGAAAGGGGGGGGGGGGCCAGATTGTTGATAGATAAAAAGGAGTGCAGCGTGTGGGAAATGGCGCAATTGAAGCCTGGGCCTATGGGGAACTATGCTCAAGGAAGAGTGGCATTAGACGCGGTGGCACGGTGAGGTACCTGTGGCAGGGGCAGAGCACCCAGACCTCCGCATAGAAAATTAGTCAACAGCAAGCATTTCAAACGCTGGGGAGAAAAAAGGCGGGTGCCACGGGGTGAAAAGGGACCAGGGCGTTGACAGGAATCCACAGCTTGATGAGGGCAGAATCCAGTGGAATCAAGGATAGACCTGCGCTGGGGAGCCCACTTGAGTTCGGTGGGCATTTGCCTTTGGGCATAAAGGTGCTTTGTTCGCTTAAAGTGGGAGATGGGAGCAAATCTAGGCAGGTGAAGGGAACCTGTCTGCGAGGAGGTAGGGACGTCTCCCCGCCCTGGCGGGGCGGGCGCGTTCGCCCCGACCCGCTGCCCGTGCAGCCCTGGCCAGCACCGCGCCCAGGCTAGCGCCGCGCTACGCGCCAGGCGCCCGCGCTCCGTGTGCAGCGGCTCCCCGGGGCGCTCGGGAAGCCGCAGGTCAGGCGACGCTGCCCGCGCGCCCGGGCGGCTCCGGGCTCCCTGCCCGGAAGCGGCCGGGCGCCGCGCGCCGCCTCAGCGTCCCAGTTGCCCGGGCAACGCCGCCGCGGTGCCGCCCGCCGGGGAGTTGCCGCCTCGCTGCGACCCGCACGGGCCTCGAGTCCCCGAGGCTCCACACTGCGTCAGCGCCGTCCCGGCCGCGCCGTAAGTGCGGGTTCGGCGGCGGGGTCTGCGGAGAGAGCGGGGTAGGGTGGAGACCCCCTCGGGTGCGGGGACGAGGCGAGCACCCTGAGGGGAGAGGAGCGGCCGCCCGAGCCGAGGGGCGCAGGCGGCCACCCGTGCGGGAGCCGGGGTTGGGGCGCTGGGGAAGCCGCCCCGGCGCCGGCTGTGGCGGGACGGAGGGGACGTGTCGCCGAGGGAAGGCTGAGGACCGGGCCCCGAAGGCGGGGGCCGCGGGCGCGCGCAGGCGAGGCGCTCCCCCGCGGTGCCGCCCGGGGGCGCCGTGGGGTCCCCGCGGCTCCGAGGCCCGCCCGGCCTGTGCGCCCGGGCTCCGGGTCTGCAGGGGTCGGTCAGCCTGGTCGAGGATGCGCCTGGCTTCGCTGTGCGCCCGCACCACGAGCAGGGCCGCGTGCAGCCCGGAGTCTCCCTAGGTGCTCGGGTCTGGTTCGGGAAAAGCGCTTCTTCCCCCCTCGCTCCTAAAGCACTGCCCACAGTTTCCTGACCCCTACAGGGCAGAAGAAGAGTTTGTGTTCCTTTGTCTCCACTGCACTCCCTCTCCCGGCCCTTAATGTTGTTTTCCTTCTCTTTGTGTATACCTTAGCCTTAACCCCACAGGATTTGGGATTCCCTCTCCCTCTCCCCCCTTCTCTCTCCTCCCTCCCTCCCCCCCCCTTTCTCTCCTCCTCCTTCTCCCCCCCTCCCCCCTTTGCTCCTTTCCCGTTCTCCTCCCCCTTCCCCTCCCTTCCCTCTTCTCTCCCCTCTCCTCTCTCTTTTTCCCTCTCTCCCTCCCTCTTTCACACACACCATCAGCCAGTGTTTGCTATTTATATACATCACTTTGAAAACTATTAACACTAAAAAAATGAAATATAAAATATACAAAGACTGGAACAATCCAAGCCGGGCGCCGGTGGTGGCTCACGCCTGTAATCCTAGCAACTCAGGAGGCTGAGATGTGAGGATCATGGTTCATAGCCACATGGGGCAGTAAACTCTGTGAGACTCCAATAAGCCACCAGGAAACCGGAAGTGGCGCTGTGGCTCAAGTGGTAGATTGCTAGCCTTGGCACCAAGAGGCTCATGGACAGCACCCAGGTCCTGAGTTCAAGCCCCAGGAGTGTGCAGAAAAAGAGCATAATTGAGGATTAGGAAAGGATAAGGAGAAAAGGCATGTGAGTTTAAGTTTAAGAAGGATCTCAGGGTCAGACATTTCAGACAGTAGTATAAACAGCCTTGGAGATGTGAGCAAGCTTGGAGAAGAATCTGAGAGATGAAACTAGAAAGGTAAAATGGAGGCAAGCAGAAGTTTGAATTTCATTCTATTGCCTTAGAGGTCATGAAACATTTTTGAAAAAGTATGATAATGGATCAGATTTAGACCCAAAGATGCTTTGGGTCTAAAATGGAAGTAGATATAAAGAAGAAAATTAAATAAGACACTTTGAAATAGCTTTGTTAAATGTAATAATTCAGACTTACAAGAGTAATGCACTGAATTGCCATGTATCTCAGCTCAATGTTACTCTTATCCATTTGTTAGCATTTCTATATATTTCCATGTATACATATGTGTATACAAATATGTGTATATATGTTTGCACATTTGCATACATGTGCATGCATATGTGTATGTGCATGTGTGTATGTATATGTGTATATACATGTATATATGCATATTAATTTTAATACTATTTGAGAATAGGTTGCCAACACCATGACCCTTTAACCATTAAATATTTTGGTACATATTTCCTAAAAACTAGGACTGTTAACATCCATAGTACAAAATACCAAGGAACTTAACAACTATTTAATAGACAGTGTTTGGATTTTGCCAGTAATTCCAATAATACACTTGATAATTATTCTTTCTGCATTTCACAATCTAGTTCAGAATCTTGCTTGGCATTTGGATTTTAGTCTCCTGTAACCTAGAACAGTGCTTTGATCTTTGTCTTATATGACCTTGATATTGTCTTATATGGCTTTGATATTTCTAGAATTCAGGCCAAGTTATTTTGTAAATTAACTTCAGTTTGTCTGTGTCCATTGTTTCTTCATAATCGATTCTGCTTTGGCATTTTTGTGCAGAATAACACAAAGGAGATGTTTTGTCCCCAGGGGCATATATGCTTTTTCTAGAAACTTCATGTATATAGAATCCTACAGTATGGGTGGGCATTGTGTGTATGTATATATGGCTTCTTTCATAACATTATGTTCTGGAGTTTTTTGGTTGGGTCCTTTTTTATGGTTTTGTTTTGGGGTGTTGCTTACTTGTTAGGGTACTTTTTTTTCCTTTTTCAGTATTTTGAGATAGTCTTGTTATTTAGGCCAGGCTAAAAACTAACAATCCTCCCAAGTCAGCCTCCGTAGTGAAAACATTACAAATATGTACCACCATGCTTGCATCTTCTTCTTTTCAAAAATGTTATCTACATTATATTATTATTATTATTGTCCAATAACATTTCATTACCTAGATTGTCTTTTCTTTATCCATTCAGCAACCAGTGGAATTTAGATTATGTTCAGTTTGAAACACCTATGAACAACAGTAAAATGAACATTTGTACTTTCGTACTCTTACAAGTAACTAGCCAGTTGCCAGTAGCCACTCAGGAGGTTGATCTGAAGATTGAAGTTCAAAGCCAGTCCAGGAGGAAAGGTCCATGAGACTTATCTCCAATTAACTACTAAATTTTTTTTAAATGGAAGAAGCTTATAGTTCAAGTGGTAGAGCAATAGCCTTGAGCAAAAAAGTGCAAAGACAGCACCTGGGGTCTGAATACAAGCCCCAGTACCAGCAGGGAAAAAAAGTAAGTTCTAATTTTTTTTTTAATTTTTTTTTGGGGGGGTCCAGTCGTAGGGCCTGAAATCTGGGCCTGGGCGCTGACCCTCAGCTCTTCAGCTCAAGGCTAGCGCTCTACCACTTGAGCCACAGCACCACTTCTAGCTTTTTTCTTTTTGCTTATGTGGTGCTGAGAATCAAACCCAGGGCCTCATGCATGCAAGGCAAGCGCTCCACCACTGAGCCACCTTCCCAGTCCATAAGTTCTAATTTTTACACATACTTACCAACACTTGAGTTTGTAGTCTCCTGGATTTTCACCTTTCTGGTGGATGTATAGTGGATTCTTTTTTATATATTTTATATTTCTCTCTTGATTAATAACCCCCCCCCCCCCGCCCCACCTCCAGAGTGGTGCCACACTGACTGTCACCTCCTTAACAAGCATTTTCTTCCCTAGAGGGTGATGTGGAGCCTATGTTAGACCCCTCTTTAACTTACTTTCTAGATCTGGTCTCTTGTGTGTGTATGTGTATGTGTGTGTGTGTGCTAGTCCTGGGCCTTGAACTCAGGGCCTGGGCGGTGTCCCTGAGCTTTTTTGCTCAAGGCTAATGCTTTACTGCTTGACCCACAGCCCCACTTTAAGCGGGGTTTTTTTTGGGGGAAAGGGGAGGGTAAGAGGGTAAGTGGAGATAAGTCTCTCTGTTTGACTGGCTTTGAGCCTCGATCCATAGATCTCAACCTCCTGAGTAGCTAGGATTACAGGTGGGAGCCACTGGCGCCTAGCATCTCTTGTCTTTGTGTAGAGGTTTCCAATGGGATCTCTAGAGAAATATCATCTAGAGTATTCATCTCTTCCTTTTCCATTTAAGTTTGTAGAGTTCACTCTTTTCCTGTTAGGGTGAAGATACATATTAGACTTATGTGGTTATATTTGTTTGGTTGATTCCTCTAGCTTACTGTAAGTTGTAAGAAGACATCAAGCACATGACAGCCACTGTCCTTAACTGTCTCTCAATCTCTCCACATGTATGTTTACAGGTCATTTAGCTGGAATGTAGCGCATGCTTGTGAACTTCAATGAAAGGAGGAAAAAAAAAAAAAAAAGAAGCATTTGATTTACAGTGTCCCAATTTTGGGATGATTCTGCCCATGAATGTAGAGATTCCCTAGGCAATTAACTAATTGGCCTGGGTCTCAAGTAGGAGATTAGGAATTATTGCTTGTGAACCTCTGGCAAAGTGACCTGGAATTAGTCTTAAATTCCTCTGTTGAATTCCTGCCTTCATCTAAGTCCTGCTTATGTATCAGCTTCATCAGCATATACAGGCTTTAGGAATCAGATATTAGCCGGTTGTGCTGGTGGCTCATGCCTTTAATCCTAGCTACTCAGGAGGATCACATTTTAAAGTCAATATGGGCAGGAAAGTCCATGAGACTCTTATGTCCAATAAAACACCAGAAAACCAAAAGTGGCTGTGGCTCAAGTGGTAGAGTGCTAGCCTTGAGCTGAAGAGCTGAGGGACAGTGCCCAGGCCCGGAGTTCAAGCCCCATGACCAACCAAAAAAAAAGAAAGAAAGAAATCAGATAATGTTGAGAAGGGGCCAGGTCAATTACTGTTTGATGAAACTATTTTATTCAGCCATCTGGTTGAGTCAAAGATCTGATTAATCTGAGGAATTCAGTCATTAGTGGATCTGTTGGGGAGGCAAGGGAAAACACAAATAAACAGATCACAAATAACTACCTAGAGAGAAATAAGAAAATACATAGACTGAAATTTCAGAATGAAGTTTCTTATGATAGTCATACCTTTCCTAAGTATCATCACAAGCAGGTTAAGTAGGAAGTTCTATATCAATATCTTTCTAAAGCAAATTTCTGCGTCTGTGTCTGTGTCTGTGTGTGTCTGTCTGTCTGTTTTCTGTCTGTGCGCGCGCGCGCTTCTGCGCATGCACATGCATGTGTGCAACACACTTAAACGCATGCGGATGCAAGCACTTGGCATTGAACTCAGGGCTTCCTTCAGCTCTTTTTACTCATGCTGTCATTCTACCACTTGAGCTATGCCTCCAGTTCCAGCTCTTTGTTGGTTAATTGGAGATGAGGTTTTCTGTTTGTCTGCCCTGGCTGGTTTTGAACAATGATCCTCAGATCTCAGCTTCCTGAGTAGTTAGGATTACAGGCATAAGCCACTGGCTCTACATTCTCTTATTTTCTTTCTAGCAACCTATCACTAGTTTAGAGAAAGGCAAATGTATGTATATATGCTATATCTAAGCATCCTTAAGATACTTAGGTAAAAGTATACTATAAATTGTTTTCAGAACTTAATCTGTGATGGATTTTCCCTGTTACTTGAATAAATATGCTTAAATTGTCTTCCTTTAATAAGGGACTAGAACAAGCCGAGAAAGAAAAAAAAATGCTGGGCATGAGTAACTCACACCTGTAATCCTATCTAATAGATCTGAAGATTGAGGTTCAAAGCCAGCCAAGGGCAGGAAAGTCCATGACTCTTACCTCCAGTTAACAACCAAAAAACTAGAAATGGAGCTGTGGCTCAAATGGAATGCTAGCCTTCAGGACAGCGGTCAGGCCTTGGGTTCAACCCCATTACTGGAACAAAGCTTAATTAACTAATTAGTTAATTAAGAAGGTTATGCATTCTGGTGAGTTAACAGAGACAGCAAAGTGTAGTGATTAAAAATTGTGACCTTCAGAACCCAACCACTTAGGTTTAGTTCCCTCATGGCACCTCTGGTTTCTCATATGCACCACTGGATAAAATAGCATCTTCATGCATTATTTGTGCAGGTGATATATGTACAGAGGAATATTCTTTAAGTGCTGGTTAGTATTACTTCTATTAGATTGTACTCAGAAGTTTGCTAATAGGTGGGATCTTTGAAACATAAAAGGTTTATTTTTAATTCCTAAACTACTCATTATGTTGGCTTTATCCATTATTTGATGTATAACCTAGTTACAAAAATAATCAGGAACAGGTGATGCAAAACGGAGACATAAGCAGGCACTTCCTGATGGCCACTATATGAGAGCACTAAGGAAGAATGGAGAAATCTACCTCTTTTTCTGTGCAATGTCAGTAACGTAACTAAAAGCAAGAGCAGCAAATGGGGTTCTGAAAAGCTTCCATTACTGTTAATGTCCCAGCAGCCCACATTTTTCTCTTGCTTCTTTCCACCAGGTGGAAGTATAGCACTTCGAACCATGTCTATTCACTGTGGTATTTGTGAATTAGAGAGGAAAAGATAAATAACATACTAAACAGTATGAAGTGTTCCTTCACCTACATTTTATAGCCTCCTATTTTAATGAGTTACTTGGGATAATGAAAGCAATAGATCAGATAACTTTCCTTTCTAGAAGTCCTTTGAGTTTAATAGCACAAAACACAGATTCATTATAAGAAATAATTTGAGGGGGAAAGGTGGGATGTGATGTTTATGCTTTTAATCCCACCTAGGAAGAAGGAATTGATAGGCTGTCTGAGTCTGTTCCTGCACAAAAAGTGGAAGATCCTATCAGAAAAAAAAAAAGAAAACCTGGGGGAATAGCTCAAATGATAGAGTGCCTGCCTAGTATGTATGAGGTCCTCAGTTCAAACTCCAATACTACCAGAACAAAGACCAAAAAAATAATATGTCAAATATTTGTGATAACTGAAGAACTGTGTAAAACTAACAAAGTAACGTACAAATGCTTGCTTAAGTAGTAAAATACAAAATCACATTTCTCTTTTTTTTTGGAGCACTGGATTTCAAACTTGGCCTCACATTTGCTAGGCAGGCACTCTAACACTGAACCATGCTGCCAACACACATCCAAGTATTTTTAAGTGGACTTAAAATTATTCAGTGGAAATAAAGTTTAGCAGTCCAGGCAAATTGGAGAATGTTCATTATAATTTGATTAAAGTGATTTGCTCTTCTTTTCCAGGTTTAGCTTTATACTGCAAGCCAATACAATCATTTTAAGTTACTTTAACTAGAATGGAAAAGTATGAAAAACTAGCTAAGATTGGAGAGGGGTCCTATGGAGTTGTATTCAAATGCCGAAACAAAGCCTCTGGACAAGTAGTAGCTATCAAAAAATTTGTGGAATCTGAAGATGATCCTGTTGTTAAGAAAATAGCACTAAGAGAAATACGTATGTTGAAGGTAGGTTAATTTTCTATTTATATATTACCAAGGTACTGAGTGAAAGACATATGCTAAAATTACAAAACATTTAAAAAAGTGATAGTTCCAGTACATTCAAGTTCCTTTTTGGAAATAAGTTGATCCTACCTCATTTTGGACTTTGGCCACTCCAGTGTGTTTATCTGATATTTTGGGGCATAACTGTAGATGGTTAACGTATTGAAGTACTTCCATTCTGGTTGGTAAATATTTACACTCTACTAATTCTCCTAACCCTAATAATTTCTTCGTTTTATCTCTGATTGCTCCCTACCCCCCGCCCCCCACTTTCACAATAAACCACTAACTACAAGGATACTTCCCAGCCAAGTGCCGGTGGCTCACTCCTGTTAATCCTAATTACTGAGGAACCTGAGATCTGAGGATCGTGGTTTGAAGCCAGCCTGGGTAGAAAAGTTCTTGAGACTCTTATCTCCAATAAACTACTCAAAAAACAAAAAACAAGTGACACTGTGGTTTAAGTGGTAGAGTGCTAGCCTTGAGCACAAAGAGGTTCAGGGACAATGCCCAGGCCCAGAGCTCAAGCCCCAGGACTGGCAAAAACAAAGAAAAACAAAAAAACTTTTCCAACACCAAAGGAGTCATAGGGCAGCAGCCATGCCCCATCCATGCATAGGCATTGGTTCATTCCAGCCTGAACTTCCCTTAGATTCTTTGATGGTTCTTAGATGCACTTAATATCGCCCGGGGACAGAAATATTTTCACATAAAGTCTTTTGTTGTTGTTGTTGTTGTTACTGAGAATTACTCATAAGATTTATGAGCCACCAATGCATTTTTTTTTCCTAGCTTAAAAATCTGGCCATTTTAGGATGATAGAGCCTAGATCAGTGTTTCTCCAACACCAGCATGTATTGGAATCCCTTGGGGATCTTGTTGAAATGCAATTTGGAGGTGGGTTGGGTCTGGTGTTGGCCCTGAGACTCTGCATTTCTAACTAGTTCCCAGAAAGTAGAGAGGCTGGAGGTGGGTGGACCACACATTGGCTAACATGACCATGTGATTTCAAGCCAACCTTCCCCTTTTTATTGTTTTTTGAATTGGTACTGGGTTTTGAACTCAGGGCCTCATATTTGCTCCACTTGCTTGCTTGGCAGGCACTCTACCACTTGAGCTACCCATCATCACAGCTTTTTGCTGGCTATTTTCTAGGTAGAATCTCACACTCTTCTCTGCCCAGGCTGGCCTTAAACTTTTCTCCCCATCTCAGCCTCCTAGCTACAAGCGTGAGCTATAGTGCCTGGCTCAGTCTTCACATTTAAATTGTGTCTTCTATTTTTAGAAAACCTCAGAAACATGGTTTCTAAAAGGGATAATAATTGTATGCTTTTTCTCTTTTTCAAGTATCACCTGAAGCAAGTTTCCCCATCAATACATTATAACATTTTGTTTAGAATATAATTTGACACACAGTTTTCAGCACATCTCTCATGATAAACTTAATTCATATCTGTTAGTCAGCAGAGGGCAGTAGTGAGCCACCCAGCACTGTCATCTATCACTGGTCTAAGCTGCAGGGTGTGTCTGCACCAAGCAGTATTGTTTTCTTTTCTTTTCTTTCTTTGTTTTTAGGGTACAGTGATAATTTTTTTATTGTGAAAATACCATACAGAGGGGTTACAATTACATGGGCAAGGTAACGAGTACATTTCTTATCAAGCTTTGTTGCCTCCTCCTTTGTTTTCCCTTACCATCCCTTCCCATCTCGCCCCTACCCCCCCACCTTTCCCTCCCCACCCCCACGCCAAAGTTGTAAAGTTCGATTTTCGACATAACGTCTTGTACATCTCATTGTTGCAATGGGTCCGCCTTCCCCTCCACAAATTATAACTACATCAAATATAGTGAAAACAGGGGTTATACCATGGGGGAGAGCAGTATTGTTTTCTAATAAAGTTATGTTTTCATCTTTTCCTCTCTCCCTCCATAGTAAAGTGATTGTCCAAATGGGCGCTTGTGAGTTACAACTTTTCCGATTTGAGTATGAACTCTGCTTGGTCTCTCATAATGTACTCTCCTGCTTTTAGCACATTGTACCATGCAAGCCCAGAACACATTCTTTCTATGATAAATGGACTTTCCCCTCCTCATGTCACCTGCTTTGTGATTTTGTCTCCTCGCCACACTATCTTTTACTTTAGGCAAGTCACTGTGTCTAGACTAAGTGAGCTCTATTTGCAAAGCAGGTATAAAGTTCTGACCTAGCCAGAGATTTGACCAGGTTAAACATGGACATTGATTGAGCTATGTAGTATCTCTGAATCCCTTCCTTCCTTTCTGTTCTGTGTTTGTGCCAAAACACAAAACAACTGACTCCTCTGCTCTTCTTTGACCTTTTGCTCTTTCAGACGTTGAGGTACTTCGGAAGCAATTTGTTTGGGAGCTCTGAACATTTTGGGTCTTTTTGTTTTGTTTTGTTTTGTTTTGTTGTCAGTTATGGGGCCTGGGTTATCAGGACCTGGGTGTTATACCTGAGCTTTTTCACTCAAGGTTAGCACTCTGGTTAATTGAAGATAAGAGGCTCATAGACTTTCCTACCCAGGCTGGCTTTGAACTGTAATCCTTAGATCTCAGCCTCTAAAGTAGGATTACAGGCATGAGCCACCGGTTCCCGGCTAGATACATTTTCCCATATGGAATCAATTCTCATTTTCCAAACTGTTAAACAGCAGGCTCATGGTTGTAGGGTAATTTTTTTTTTTCTTTTTTGTCACAGTCATGCAGTGTGAAGTCTTCTGTGTACCTAGACTCTGTTGGATATGGGACCTACGACTATATATTGAGTTCCTACTATATAAAAATACTAGTCTCTCATATCTTTCTGAGTAAATGGGCTTAGCAAGCTGCTTTGTCAACTATTCTGGGAGAACAACAAAGAAAATGAGCTATAAATAGGAATGATCATATATCCTGGTTTGTACAGGACAATCTCATTATAGCATCCCTGTTACATCCAAATGGGCAGTGTTGAAATGTAAGAGTGGGGTCTAGCTGGGCACCTGTGACTCACACCTGTAAGTCTAGATACTTAGATGGCTGAAAGCTGAGGATCTCTATTTGGAGCCAATCTAGGCATTTGCCCAGGAGCCTCCATCTCCAATTAACCAGTGTAGTTTAGTAGTAGAACTCTAGCCTTAAGCAGAGAAAGCCAAGTGTGAGCACAAAGCCTAGAGTTCAAGCCACAGTACTGGTACTAGGGTCTAATATTGCTAAGAACCAACACTAGAATCCAAGCTGAGCTTAAGTCCAGTTGGCAGTTACATTAAATCTACGTCTCTATAGAAGCTAAGTAGATTTTTATGATTTTTTTATAATCCTTTAGTTAAAATTCCATTTCTTCAACTTTTTATTTAGATTATGACTTGGGTATTTACTTTCCATATTATTTGCAGAGTTGTGTGCATGCGAGTGTGAGTGTGTGTGTGTGTGTGTGTGTGTGTGTGTGTGTGTGTGTGTGTGTGTTAGTGGTGGTGGGTGGTGGTGGTACTAGGGATTGAATTTAGGGCCTGGGAACTGTCCCTCGTTTTTTGCTATGGGATGGCATTCTTGTCACTGGAGCCACAGCTTCATTTTTGGCTTTTTTGGTGGTAATTGGAGATTAGAGTGTCATGGATTGGCTTTGAACCACTATCCTTAGATCTCAACCTCCTGAGTAGCTAGGATTACAGGCATGAGCCAACAGTGTCCAACTAGTGCTCACATTTTGACTTACGTACTTTATTTGCTATCATCAAAGGGAAAGCAGTTCATTTACTATCAATTATAGACAGTAGACAATATGCTAAATTTCTTCCAACCTGGAGTTTCTATGGCTATCTTATGAGGAACTATAATAAAATTCTAACTCAAGCCAGGCTTGCATGGCTTACTCTGTAATCCTAGCTACTCAAGAGGCTGAGATCTGAGGATTGTAGTTTGAAGCCAGCCCAGGCAGAAAAGTACATGAAACTCTTATCTCTAATAAACTACTTAGAAAAAGCTGGAAGTGGAGCTGTGGCTCAGTGGTAGAGCACTAGCCTTGAGCAAAAAGAATTAAGGCTAGCACCCAGACCCTGGGTTCAAGCCTCAGGACTAGTACATACACATGTGTATGGATTGAGAAGGCCGTATTTTCTTCAAATGGAAAGGGTCTAAGGAAACATTAACCATATTACTAAACTTGGGATTTCAATTCCTTTGCAGCAATTAAAACACCCAAACCTTGTGAACCTCATTGAGGTATTTAGGAGAAAAAAGAAAATGCATTTAGTTTTTGAATACTGTGATCACACGCTTTTAAATGAGCTGGAAAGGAACCCAAATGGGTAAGTAATTCAGAAACTGAAGTTTTATATGGCCAATTCTCTTTCCTTCTTTGTGGAATCAGCTGTGGCAGATTTCAAACCCACCCATAGTTCCCCTTCTACCCAGATGGATGCCTCTGGCCACCCCTCTCCAGCTGCAGATAGAAACTGCTCAGAGGGCATCAGATATTAACCTAGAGGGAACTCAGCCAAGAGGACAAACGTACTGTAATGCAAACCACTGTGCATTTTGTGAGGTCAGTTATATGTGATTATCTAGGGGGGTTGTCTTGGTCTGCCTACATAGCAAGACCTTATCTCAAGCAAACATTAAGTGGGTAAACTAACAGAATTAATCAGATTCAAGGTCTATTCATGTAGATATTATAAATCAATTTTAGAAACTATTAATTCCCAATTAGAAAATATATTCATTCAAAAGGATTTAATGGGTGCACAGTGTGTACCCAGCTAGATGTAAGGATGAAAGCTATAAACAAAACATACAAAATGTGGAGCACCGGTAGCTCACACCTGTAATCCTTGCTACTCAGAAGGCTGAGATCTGAGGATCCCAGTTTGAAGCCAGCCCATGCAGAAAAGTCCCTGTGAGACTCTTATCTCCAATTAACCACTCAAAACCCAGAAGCAGAGCTGTGTCTTTAAGTGGTAGAGCACTAGCCTTGAGCAAAAGAGCTCAGGGACAGGGCCCAGGCCCTGAGTAGAAGCCCCACAAACCACCACCAACAACAAAAAGCTAGCCTTTTAAAACTTTACATTCTAGTAGATATATAAAAGCAACTTATTTTAAAAATGTGCAATTAAAATGACTAATATATTCTCCCTATAAGTTAAAGAAATTTTAAAAAAATATTTAAATTAGGCACCATATCACACCTTTCAACGTTGGCAAAGCTTCATCAAAAACCAATATACTCACTATGTCAACAGTCAGGTAATCAGGTCTCATTTGCAGCTAGAAATAATGTAATTAGGTAGATAATTTGGCCAGAAATATGAATATTTAAAAACTATATACTTTGACCAAAAAATCTATTTAGAGGAATATCTAGTAAGAAAATATTCAGATAGAGGCAAAAATTGTCACAACAGATTGTCACAACAGAAAAAAATGGGACCGGGGCTGGGAAGGTGGTTCAGTGGTAGAGTGCTTGCCTTGCATGCATGAGGCCCTGGGTTCTATTCCCCAGCACCACATAAGCAAAAAGAAAAAAAGCCGGAAGTGGCACTGTGGCTCAAGTGGTAGAGTGGTAGCCTTGAGCTGAAAAGCTGAGGGACAGTGCCCATGCCCAGAGTTCAGGCCCCACAACCGGACCCAAAAAAAAAAAAAAAAAAAAAATGGGACCTACCTAATTTTCCAATAGTAAGGAATCAGTTAGTCCAGGTTTGTTCCAAGTACTTGGGAAGTAGAGGTGGGAAGATGATGAGTTTGAGGCCAACCTAGACTGTATAATAAGAGCCTATCTCAAAAAAGAAGAAAGTAGCCAGTCAGGATGGCTCACACTTCTAATCCTAGCTACTGAGAATTGTGGTTCAAAGTCAGCCCAGATAGAAAGAGTGGTAAGAATCTCATCTCCAATTACCCACCAAAAAAGCTGAACGTGGAACTGTGGTTCGAGTGATAGACCACTAGCCTTGAGCAAAAAAGCCCAGGGACTGTACCCAGGCCCTGAATTCAAGCCCAGGACTGGCAAAAATTAATAATAATAATAAAAAAATAAAGAAGAAGAACAGGAGGAAAGCAGGGTACATGTAGCCTAGCATGCAGGAGGTCCTAGACTTGGCCCCTAGCACTGTAAAGCAAAATATTGGCAATATGTATTTTGTTATACATGAGAAACTGCATCTAGCAAGGTAGAATGGATGCTGCAGGAGGACAGATAATATCGTTGGGAAATGTTCACAAAATGCTGTGATGAAAGGATAAGCTAATAGTAGAATGTGAAGTGCAATTGAAAATTTACCTGGGATAGTCAGCAATCTTCTAGTGAATGCACATATATTATTTTTAAATTTTTAAGTCAGATATTAAAAAACAACTAAAATGATTAATTATCTGGGTGCTGATGGCTCATCCTAGCGACTCAGGAGGCTGAGATCTGAGGATGAAGGTTTGAAACCAGCCTGGGAGACAAATCTGAGAGATTCTTATCCCCAACTAACCACCAAAAAACCCAGAAGTGGGGCTGTGTGGTAGAGAGTGGCAACTTGAGTGAAAAATCTAAGGAAGAATGTGAGGCCCTGAGTTCAAGCCCCAGTACTGGCACACACACATGATTAATCAATTTATAGTTCACCTTTTTGGTGTGTGCCAGTATATAGTGGATGAACTCAGCCCTTTTTGCTTACAGCTGATGCTCTACCACTTGATCCATGCCTCCAGTTCCAGCTTTTTGATGGTTAATTGGAAATATGTTGTGGGCTGGCTTTGAAGTGACATCCTTGGATCTCAGTCTCCTGAGTAGCTAGGATTATAGGCATGAGCCAGTTTGCAGCATAGTTGAAGTTGATTGGCAATAAAATTGCTGGTATTTTTTCACAGTTATTATTTTATATAGATGTTGTTTAGACAGTGACAGAGTCTGCCTTTATAATCAGAGCTAACTAAACAGAGGCATGCAGTCCAGTAAGAAGCCTTCACACATTCCCTCCCACAGCAGATTCTCCTGTCATATCAACACTGTGTAAGTCCATGTTATTAATTTTATAATGCAAGGTTCTGGCCATTTCTGAACTCAAGCCCCTGCCTTGCTGCCCAGTTCTCTGCCACCTGTAATCTTATAGTTCCTGCCCAGCATCCTGTTCCTACATTAATAGTTAGGATTTGAACTCTGGTGGTCTGTTTCATAGTGCTCAAAATGGCTATATTTTTTCTGCTTTTTATAAAAAAATTTAAGCAATGTTTTCTTAAGTTTGACACTTGGTCAAAAAGGAGAGGGGTAAAGTTATATTCAAATTCAGTGAAGAAATAGACATTTCAAATGGGAAAGACTTTTTTTTTGGGGGGGGGGGTCCGGTCGTGGGGCCTGAACTCTGGGCCTGGGCACTGTCCCTCAGCTCTTCAGCTTAAGGCTAGCGCTCTACCACTTGAGCCACCGCGCCACTTCCGGCTTTTTTCTTTTTGCTTATGTGGTGCTGAGGAATCGAACTCAGGGCCTCATGCATGCAAGGCAAGCGCTCTATCACTGAGCCACCTTCCCAGCCCCGGAAAAGACTTTAATACTGAGAATTAGATATTTTCACAATATTAATCATTAGAAGAAGTAGAATCCAAGAGTTGCTTCCTGATGCCTGGTGCCAAGGGCATGACATAGTAATTATCATCCAAAATAAGGACTACATTGGCTTCTGCGAATATACTTTAGTCATACATAGAGATGCTATAACTGAGTTATGCATAGGTGTCTCCTGATTCAATAAAACCAGATACAAAGTACAGATTCTAAATAGCTTGAAGTACCATTAAGTCTGAGTGGTGGATATGGTCGGAGTATTACACAGATTTTTTAATTAAAGAATGCTTACAGACTTTTGAAAATAATGTAAATAACTCCATCCACACTTGAAAGACAAACACTCAGAAAAATATTTGCAGCATATATAGCAGACTAATATACATGGAGTCTTTGTAAATTAGTAAACTAACCAATTCAAAATATGAGTGTATGAAATGTAAATATACAGAAGAAATGAGGTATCCACTAATGGTGAAAATTATTTAAAAAGTCATTAAAGTTAATGAAAGATAAATCAAAACTGAACTATCTTTTTTTTATTTTAACCACAGATTGGCAAACATAACATTGGCAAAACCAAAAGTTGGCAAGATGATAAGGAGATAGGGACATCTGCACAGATGTTTGGTGGGAGTGTAAATGAGTCCACCCTTCCCAGGAGAGGGGAGTTTGGCAGGATGGAACTGCGAAGGCATCATGGCAGCAGTGATGTAATGGAAAGACCAACAGAAAAGGTCAAGGGGATGCAGTTACTGTAATTTACAGGGACAATTACATAAAGTAGAATACTCCCAGACAGAAGTTCCCAGATCCTCTGTTCCCCATGGAAATCACACCTGCCAATTATACTTTTGCAATGTTTTCTACACAGAATAATGATTCTGCCAGACACAAGAAGCTCACAGTTTGCCCCTTCCACAGGCCTTTATTTGCCCTGGCCTCTCTTTGGCAGTAAACATACCCACTTATCAGATGTCTATACTATTGCACAATAAGTGTAGCACATGCTTGAGCATTTATCACACATTTACCTCCTCTTTCAAGTTTACCTATTTCTCTGCAAAACAAAGTCTAAGGTCTAGCTGAGATTAACATTGCAGAATCAAAATGTACCATGTGTACCCTTGGTCCTGAAATCCCACTTCTAGAATTTATAGAAGATAATTGTGTCACTTCAATAAGGGAGTGATTACAAAATATTCAATAGAGTTTTTCTTAAATAACAATGAGCTCGATCTGACTACTCATTGTGGGATCTAAGTAAGTTATAATACATCCATTAAATGGTATCTTCCACAGCCACTAAAATATATGTGTACGTGTTAGTATTTGTACCTTTTTGCATAAAACGTTCCTCAAAGAGGCAGGAGGTAGAATTGTAAAGGATAAATGGATGGCTAGGCAGGTGTCAGACACTTCATGGATATATTTTTATAACTTTAAATATGAGTGTGTTTATTTAAAATTAAAGTTACAAATTAAATAGAGAGCAGCAGGCAAGCAAAAAGAAAAACAGGTAGTTAAAAAGACATTAGCCAGACAGACGCCAGTGGCTCACACCCGTAATCCTAGCTACTCATGAGTTTTTATTGTAAGGAAATGACCACTTCGCAGACCTAATCTCGGCCCTCGATCCCAGCGCCTGCGCAGTAGGTGAGGCACCGCCCACTTCCGGGCCTCCAAGGAGCCACACGGCGCCATTTTCTCCCTTTCCTCATGAGAACTTGGCCTTGTCATAAGACAAGATCTTGGTACCTAGCTCAGCTCACAATTCTGCCTCACCTTCCTGTGTGCTGGCATTACTGGTGGTCACCTCAAACCTGGCCTTGAAATATTTTGAAGAAAGGAATCTGGGAGCCCCTCTGTGCTGTGCTTTTACACCATGACAATCCCCTTTCATTTCACTTCTGTTCTCAACCTTTGCTCCTAGAATCCTATCCCAGGAGTTTTAATATCCTTTTTTATTTTTCCTACCAGAGTTGCTGATGGAGTGATCAAAAGTGTATTATGGCAAACACTTCAGGCTCTTAATTTCTGTCATAAACATAATGTAAGTAACATTTTCTAATGCTTTAATTCTTCATAATGGCTGTGTTTATGATCTATTTGAAGAGCTTAAAGATAGTGGGAAAGAAACAAAAGAAAGCTATAAATATGAGAGAAAGCAATTCATAATTCATATCCCTTTTCTAGTTTCTGTAAGAAGTTATTAATGTTTTATTAATTAAAAATTTGTATAAACTTAATGTTTCCTTTGCTACAATACAAATGATTCCTGTTATTGTTGTTAAATTGGGTTAAAATAATTTTTCAGCTTGTCCATAATGTAATGATCTAACATGGCCTTTGGCTTGATTTTGTTTTTATTATATTTTTTAAGTCTTTCATTCTGTACTACAGTATTCCCCTTCCCCTTATTTATTATTTATTTATCTTGTGCCAGTCCTAGTGTTTGAACTCAGGGCATAGGCACTATCCCTGAGCTTTATTTTTTTTTGGGGGGGAGCATGGGGGTCGTATCATGGGGCCTGAACTTTGGGCCTGGGCGCTGTCCCTTAGCTCTTCAGCTCAAGGCTAGCACTCTACCACTTTAGCCACAGCGCCACTTCCAGCTTTTTTCTTTTGGCTTATGTGGTGCTGAGGAATCAAACCCAAGGCCTCATGCATGCAAGGCACTCTACCACTGAGCCACCTTCCCAGCCCCCTATCCCTGAGCTTTTGTGTTCAAGGACAGTGCTTTACCACTTGAGCTATAGCTCTACTTCGGGCTTTTTGGTGGTTAATTGGAGATAAGAGTCTCTTGGACTTTGGAGCTTGAACTTGGGGCCTGGACTGTCTCTGAGCTTTTTCATTCAAGGCTTGCATTCTCCCACTTTGGGCCAAAAATCCTGTCCTTCAATTTTCTAGTGGTTAATTGGAGATGAGAGTCTCACTAACTTTTCCTTCCCAGGTTGGCTTTGAACTATGATCCCATGAGATCTCAGCCTCCGGAGCAGCTAGGATTTCAGGCGTGAGCCACAGGAATACAGGCCCTTATCTTGTTTTAAAATAAAAATTTCTACTGGGTGCCAGTAGCTCATGCTTGTATGAAGATCACAGTTTAAAACCAACCCAGGCAGGAAAGTTTATGAGACTCTTACCTCAAAGAAGCAACCAAAAAAGCAGGAATTGAAATTGTGGCTCAAGTGGTAGAGCACCATTCTTTTTTTTTTTTGGGTCCAGTCGTGGGGCCTGAACTCTGGGCCTGGGCGCTGTCCCTCAGCTCTTCAGCTCAAGGCTAGCGCTCTACCACTTGAGGTACAGCGCCACTTTCGGCTTTTTTCTTTTTGCTTATGTGGTGCTGAGGAATCGAACCCAGAGCCTTGAGCATGCAAGGCAAGCGCTCTACCACTGAGCCACCTTCCCAGTCCTAGAGCACCATTCTTAAAAGAAGCTTACGGACAGCTCCCAGACCCCGAGCTAAAGCTTTAGGACCAGTTGAAAAAAGAAAAAAATATATAATTTCCTATACCATTAATATTTTTTAGAACCATAGTTATCAAACCCAACCATGAAAACAAGTCACCTTGGAGGAACTCTTTTTTTAAACAAACAAAAATTTAAAACAGCTTGCAGGGCCCCAGACACTTGGAGTCAATACATCTATGATAGGACCTGAGAATTCACATTTCAAACATTTTCCTGGATAATATCAAAACTGCTGGTCCAACGACTACCTTTGAATATTATTGTGTTACTGAAATAATTTTGGATGGTTGCCTCCTGTACCTAATTTAACATGTTCTTTTATCTGCTTTCCTGTGAATTGATTTTTTTCTTTCTAATCATATTTCTAATCATATTCAGGTTTGGTTTTCTTAGGTGAGAATATCTCCTATGCAGTGTTATACATTTCTTATTACATGAGTATCATAAGGTGTATTGTGCCTCAAATATGTGGTTGCCCTGCTTTTGATAATGTGGATATTGATTAGGAAACTCAGGAGTTATTTGATATTAGTTGGATCTCCTTCCATGTTCATTTTCCTTTCAACCTTTTCTGTTGATAGTTTTAGTATTTCACTGAGATTGAGAAATGGTAACTTAGCTGGGTGCCAATGGCTCACACCTATAATCCTGGCTACTCTAGAGGCTGAGATCTAAGGATCAAAATTCAAAGCCAGCTCAGGTAGGAAAGTGTGAGATTCGTATCTCCGACACAAAGCTGGAAGTAAAGCTATGGCTCAAGTGGTACAACACTGGCCTTGAAAAAAAACAAAACAAAACAAAAAAACAAAAACTTTAGGGACAGGGCTGGGATGTAGCTCAGTGGCAAAGCGCTTGCCTGGCAAGTGCAACGTCCTGGGTTCGATCCCCAGTACCAAAAAAGAAAAGACAAAAAAAATACAGTTAAAAAAAAAACCCCAAACCAAAAAAAAAAAAAAAAAAAAAAAACCAACCCTTTTAAGCTGGGCGCTGGTGGCTCACACCTGTAATCCTAGCTACTTTGGAGGCTGAGATCTGAGGATCGCAGTTCAAAGCCAGCCCGGGCAAGAGAGACCATGAGACTCCTATTTCCAATAAACCACCAGAAAACCGGAAGTGGCGCTGTAGCTCAAGTGGTAGAGCGCTCGCCTTGAACTGAAGGGCTGAGGGACAGCGCCCAGGCCCAGAGTTCAAGCCCCACAACCGACCAAAAAAAACAAACAACAACAAAAAAAAAACCTTAGGGACAGCATCCAGGTTGAGTTCAAGCCTCGGACCAGCACAAAAAAGATAAGAAAAGGCCATTAAGCATTGGTGATTCACACCTGTAATCCCAGCTATTCAGGTGGCTGAGATATTGAAGCCAGCCCAGGCAGGAAAGTTCATGAGCCTCTCTATCTCCATTTAACCACCAGAAAACCAGAAGTGGCACTGTGGCCCAAAGTGGTAGAGCACTAGCCTTGAGCAAAAGAACTTAGGGACAGCTCCTGGACCCTGAGTTCAAGTCCCACGAGCAATAAAGAAAAGAAAGGAAATGGTAACTATTATTTCTTCTTCTATATTATTATCAGAATTATATAGAAAATTACTTGCCCAAGGACTCTGATAAAATACAGTAAGAGGATAACATTGATGTGTCACTTCAGAGAAATACTTAAGTATCTTAGCAACCTATAACAGTGAACACTGATGAAGACAGAAGGTGTTATTATAAACAGGGATTTTACATATGTGATATTTTCAATCCTTTAGGGTCATTGGTCTTCTTTCAAGTCCAAATTTTCCATCTTAAGCCAGTGGCACTTACTGAAGTTGGCCTGGGTGCCTTTGATACATCAAAAACTTTGGAAAAAATATGTCTCTACCTTTTGAGTTGGTGCCTAGACAAAGTGCCAAGGCAACGGTTCAGACTACCATATGGTCGTTTTGGATGCCAGCAAAATATCTTAACATGGTAGTCAAGGATTGCTGAAAAAGGAAATACAGGACATAAAATTAAATGTCAGTATTTAGGAACCTAGTTTTCTTGAGTTTTATGAAAGTCAGTGAAATTTTCATTAGAATAAATCAAAATCCTTCATTTTCAATTAGAGGGATATTGTTCACAACCTACTTGTTTGGGTTCTTTAGTGCAAATTATGCTTTTAGATTCTTAGTAAAGATGGAGGAGAGTTGACTCCATACCTATGTTGCTTCCCACCATACTCTAGAAGATAACAAGTTGACTTAAGGTTGACATAGCAATGTTCTAAGTAATTAAAATAGTTTTGCAAAAATGATGCTTAGAGCCAGCACCAGTGACTCATGCCTATAATCCCAGCAACTCAGGAGGCTGAAATCTGAGGATCATGGTATAAAGCCAGCCTGAGCAGGAAAGTCCATGACTCTTATCTCCAATTAACTACTAAAAAGCTGGAAGTGGAGCTGTGGCTCAAATGGTAGAGCACCAGCCTTGAATGAAGAAGCCAAGGGGCATCACCCAGGCACTGACTTCAAGCCCCAGTACCAGCACAAAAAAAATAAAAATAGTAAGTTTTAGAAGAGAAGTAGAAATCTTAATTTTTTAAGTTTTTATTCTTATGCTATAGTAAATCTCTATGCATCCATATTTTTATCTGTTCTCTAAGATGAATGCAAAAGAGAAAAATCAAGTCATATATAAGTTCTTACAATAATAGATCTGAAACCTTTATATTTCTTATTTTTAGAGGAACTCTCGTGTTACTCTCAAAGAATAGAAAAGGCCATCTGACCCAATGGTGTTGTTTGAAGATGCCCAGCTTTCAACCTAAGGATACCTGGTGTAACTATTATCTCCAGAGTTGTGATCCTAAATAAGACAATAAAGGTTAAAGTAGTAAGAGATTAAGGCTGCTGAAAGTGTAGCTGATAGAGATCAATTGGGAACTCATTAGAAATGCAGAATCTCAGGCCCACTCGTTCATCTGCTAAAGTAGAATCTGCATTTTAGCAAGAGCTACAGATGATTGGTGGGCACATTAAATTTTTAGAAGCAATGGGTTTAAGAAAACACCTACTCATTTTGTTCAGTTTTACCCTGTAACACTGCTAGAGTGAGATAGCTGAAGTGTTCAGTTTAACATCATTTTGTCTCCATAGATTTTATATTTGATACATTGATTAGGGAAAACGAATTTCATAATAGTAAAACCACACTGATTTCTGAGCTATGGATGTACCAGGCTGGAGCACCCATCAACATCTTCCTTATATTCATATTTTAATTGGCAAGAATGCATCTTTTCTTTCTTCTTTCTTATAAGTATCAGTCCCTAAAATTCAAAGAGGACCACTTGGTCAGACAAAAAATTATTTCTTTCTTAGTCATGGCACATAAAAAACAATTTCTGGTATGAATGTTTCCAGAAATTATTCTTGGGGAACAAAGGAGGAGGCAACAATGCTTGATAAGAAATGTACTTATTACCTTGCCCATATAATTGTAACCCCTCTGTATGGTATTTTCACAATTAAAAAAAATAAGATTAAATTAAATTAAAAAATTATTCTTAAGGCTGAATGCATGGTTAACATGGAGATCAGCAATGCTGAAACAAAAAGCTG